TTATACTCAGGAGAAGTTCTGAAGCTCACTGCAGAGGTTGACAGAGGTAAAATTATTCAAATATCAGTCTCTCTTTTAGTTTTTCATCACTAATTTGAAAATACTAAATAAGAGGACATAAAGTGCTGTTCATTGTGTTAATAATGCCGGTTTTCTAGTTGCAGTACGATTAGCGATCTACATTTAAAAATTTAAAAGTCGGAACTGTAGATGAGAGGTACCTCAGTTTAAAATTAGAAGCTGGAATAGAATGTGTGCGTCAATTAGTAGAAAGTTTAGTTATCGATAACACCTTTATTACTGGTCTTTACAAACAGATAGTTACAACTTGTTTCATTTTATACAAATCCAGCTCAAAGCTACAAACCAGCTGAGTTTAAGCAAAAGTGGTAGTATGTCGACTAACTGCTTTCAAGAATTTTTCAGTTTCCAAACGTCTAAATCAAGTTCTTTCTTGTAATCTTGAAGTTTAACTGATAATAGCTAGATACCAGCGTATATATAAACTTCTTATTAGAAGTATATTTATTCCCGCAGAAAGCAAAGCCTGATTGTTGCTTTCAATTTTCTAAGGCAAAGTGGGCAATTTCAAAATCTACATTATTATGCCCCATTTCGAGAGGGTTAGGTTTTTTCCAAAATCTGCTTCATTTAAGTTTACTTCATTTTAGAATTCTCAGCCCAGCAACAAGAATAAAAACTTTATTAATAATCTCATTTTTTTTTTGTTTTTGTGTGTGTTGTCAACCTTTTGTATTAAGATTTCGTATGCAGCTCCCTGTGCTAATGTATTTTTCAGTCATAATTTGTTTCAGAATGTTGGCTAAGATATGTCTCATCAGCATGTTGTAACTGCTCGTCTTCCGCTGATGAGATGTGCTGATTACAATGAAACGCTACTGTTGGGCAAGTGACTGTCTGGACAAGTCAGAGGCATTTGTTCACGACCAGGAGACTAACAAATAACACATATTTTTTACTATTAATGCTTCTTTTAAGCGTATTCTGAAATACTTATTTATTCTTAATGATTACCTCAGTTTAATAATATTTCATTTCTTAAATTTAAGATTTATCTCACTTTTCTAACCTTAGCACGTCATATTCTAAAGCACTGCGACTTTGACACAAAACTGGGGAAATTTTGTGATAAGATAAGGAAAACCTGAATTTTCACTGGGTAACATGAGGCTACAGCTACAGGACGGCCGGGACAAAAAAATGAGTCCTCCAGCAAACACAGATTCTGAATTTCTTACGCTGTATGAAACTAACTAGGGAATGCCGGTATCTTTTTTCAAAGGGGTCATACGAGTGTTTTTTGGCGCATGAACGATGACGATGAAACAGCGAGAGACTAGGTTGACGGTAGATAGAACATTAACACGTTAATAAGCTTTACCTAACTCGGCAACAATTAAAACCGACAACGGATTTCAGTTCAACCTAGTTCTTGGTTGCTGTTTACTGTTGCAGTGATGTTTGTACATATATTTTGGCAAAAATATTAAGATTTTAAACGTTTCGAGTCGTTAACCTCATTAGCGATTAGCCAGACACAGTCAATTGTATTTCGCAACTACCTCTTTTCAAGGAAAATTTGGAGATGAGTATTTTTGTCTTTCACACTATTCATTTTGTTAAGAAATTGCTGTCTTCCATTCACTAATTACTTTATTCTATATCAGTTGAGTGGCAAAGGCAAAAAATTCTTCTTTCTCTTTCAGCCTTATCGTCAGATTTACGAGACGTCCTCAGCAATCGTCGTTTCAGGTAGTGTGCTTGAAATGCTGGTTTATGCTCACCGTAATGTTACTTATCCCTTCAAACCACTGCTGTAAATCTGCCAATCTGACGTCGTCATTACTGGGGTTTCTATTTCTAAGTTTAGTGCCATTAATTTTTGATTAAATTAGCTCGCAGAATGGGGTGCCCAGTGCGCTTGAAGCTGTGATTTATAGGAAAAAATGGCAGCATTTAATTAAGGCAGACTTTTGGAATTTTGACTTGAGAACGGAACGGTCTACAGAAACAAAAACCAAGATCTACAGAAACTGTTCGGTGTGGTGGAAGAGTTAGGATCAGAACAGAAAGTGGAGTGCGAACAGTAGATAAGAAGTTGAACTTCGTGGCTGTTGGACAGAAACACAAATAACGAGATTCTTGGGTCTTTCTTAGATTTAGCTAAAAGATGCAAAAACGTCATTGTAGTTTGGGGATAGCTTAAGAATGTTACTGCGGTGTTGTAGAGATAATAGACAATTTGGTTGGTTTTTTTTTTTTTTTATCGAAGTTGTGCACTAATATTTTTTTTGGAGAGGAGAGGGAAGAAAGTACATGAGAATAATCGCGGTCCAAAATTTTTTGCATTTTCTTAAACGAAGCAGAATGACTTATATTTGCCAGTTTGTAGAGTTGTAAAGGAGGTGATGGACAATAAAATAATCCTTTTTTCGGCAGAGGAATGAATTTTTTTTAGTTTTTTTTGTTTTCTTCTTATTTTCGTTTGGTGCAATCTTCTTTTTTTTTTTTAGTGACTTAGTTGGAAATCACAGTGAATATAGTGCCGCTAACGGCGCTTGAATTCTCGTATGGTGTCTTACATTTTTATGTGGCGTGTAAAAGCGTTTACTTCAGAAAATAGTGAAAATTAGCTTTCAAAAATTATTTTCTAAATTATCATCTATTTGTAATAACATATTTTTAATAATGTCTATTTCAAACAAATAACAAAGGAAACTAAAATTACTACTACCTTTCATACGTAATTAAATTTTACAAGCATTTATGCAGAATTGTGGTTTATAACTCATAGGCAACCATAACACATGACTCTAAGCCTGCAGGA